GGAGTCACAGCTCATAGCAACCTTGAACTCTTGGGCCTAAGCGAGTCTCTTGCCTCAGCCTCCCAAGTAGCTGGGACTATAGGCACCTGCCATAGTGCCCAGCTATTTTTTTTTGCAGTTGTCATTGTTGTTTAGCTGGCCCGGGCTGGGTTTGAACCTGCCACCCTTGGTGTATATGGCTGGCACTGTAACTGCTATGCTACAGGTGCTGAGCCTGTGGTCTCTTATTTTTGTGATTCCTTCCTACGGCTCCCTTGGATTGACCTTTGCGGATCCAAGGACAGCTGGGACTTTTTCACCTCCTCTCCACTCTAGGCTGAGTCTAAGGCTCTGAGCTCTTCTCCCCTCACACCCAGTTCCTACGGCCCCATCTACTAAGTCTGGCCCCTGGGGTCCGCCGATATTTACAGCTTCTGATGCCTGAAGCTTGCTTTCAGGAATCATTTGGGATTCAGACGCCAAATGCCAGGGGTGAGCTGACAGCTGGTAATAGAAATGGGATTCTGCGTTGACTTCTGACATCTAACACAGCCAGTAAGATTTATCCTCAGAGAATATCTGGAAAAGGTTTTAGAAACCTTGAAAGAAGAGGGCAGTGACGAGACTGCCTACTACAAAGGATCTGAAGTTCTCTCAGCTGTGGGCTGCTGGTACCTAGGAGGCTTTCCTCCTAATGGCCAAGGGCGAGTGATCGGCAAGGTGTGTGCGGACCCACGAACGTGCCCTCATCTGTGGGTAGAACAGTAACTGTGCATCTTGGAGGGCTGAACGAATATGAACTCAGAATAAGCACTGAGCAGCCACTGGTAGTGTGGTGAGGGTGCAAGAGAAGACTCGGGTCTAGATTCTGACTCTGAAAAGATGTGCAACCCTAGGAAGTGATACTTTCCCTCAGACTTAGTTTTGGCAAAATGGAAAAAAATAGCAAGACCACGGAGGGTCACCACGAAGGTTAACAACTAGGATACACCTAGCATAATACCTGGCAAATGGCATTTGTTCATAAAATGTTACTTTCCCTTTCTTTTTTTTTTTTTTTTTGAGACAGAGCCTCAAGCTGTCCCCGTGGGTAGAGTGCCATGGCTTCATTGCTCACAGCAACCTCCAACTCTTGGGCTCTAGTGAGTCTCCTGTCTCAGCCTCCCAAGTAGCGCCCGCCACAACGCCTGGCTATTTTTTGGTTGCAGCCATTATTGTTGTTTGGCGGGCCTGGGCTGGATTCGAACCGCCACCTTAGGTGTATGTGGCTGGTGCCTTAGCTGCTTGAGCCACAGGCGCTGAGCCTACTTTCCCTTTCTTTCTTCCATTCATGCTAGGTGGTGAGGGTCTGAATAAAGAAAGTACATTTCTTGCTCTCAAGAAGTTCATTCTGGCTGGGGAGCTAGACATACACAGCTACTAACAGAATGGGAGAGTGGGGCATCAGTGTGATGTTAGAAATATTAAAAATGATGACAATGTCAATGACAGCAAGAGCTGATGTTTACCTCACACCGTGCCAGCCACCCTCTAGGGACTATTTTGCTTTATTCTCCAGAGCACCCTGTGAGATAGATGCTGCCATCATCAACATTTTACTAAGGAGGAGACTGAGGCTCAGATTCCAAAGTTATACAGTGAAGGGACCTGAGGACCTAGCATGACTGGTGAGTAAAAAAGCAACGGCTGGGCTCGGCGCCTGTAGCTCAAGCGGCTGAGGCGCCAGCCACATACACCAGAGCTGGTGGGTTTGAATCCACCCCAGGCCTGCCAAACAACAATGACAACTACAGCCAAAAAATAGCCAGGTGTTGTAGTGGGTGCCTGTAGTCCCAGCTACTTGGGAGGCTGAGGAAAGAGTGCTTGAGCCCAGGAGTTTGAGGTTGCTGTGAGCTGTGACACCACAGCACTACCCAGGGCGATAGCTTGAGGGTCTGTCTCAAAAAAAAAAAA